CCCTCCCCTCTCTCTCTTCCCATCCCTCTTCACCTGACTCGAAACGTCTCGAAGGCCGCAATTGTCAAAGGAAACATTCCACCGAAGAAACAGACGCCAAGGCCGTAGATCATTCGGATCGCTGTGGTAGGAAGGAGAAGGTACACGGCTCGTGCTTGAACATACATCTCCCTGCACCGACACTTAGCAAGTGAGAAAGAACGTCGATCCTCCTCTTGCTTTCAACTTTCAGCTACCTCACCTGATGTATGGCGCGATGAAGACACTAAACTCCATCGCCTTCTCCACTATTGGAACAAGTTGCACTTTCAAGGTCTTGAACCTTCAAGAAGAAAACGGAAGTCACAGGAATGTCGAAATGACTCGAACAAGGCAGAATTTGAGTTTAACGTCTTTGTGAAGAGGCGATCGTTCATAGATACATCAAGTCACCAGTCAGGAATGTCATTCGGACGCGATGACTGCGATTTCGCAAGTTGCAGCAAACCTGGATTTGTATTCAGAGACAAGAAATGATGAGTGGGTGGGTGGCGATCCCAGTACGAGGAACAACAAGCACAAGGAGCATGCGAGGTTGAGTTCTATGCATAGGTCGAGGGATGGGGTGCCCATGATGAAGAAGGCGACCAGACGGAGGAGGAGGAGGAGAAAGAAGGGAGGGAGAGGAGAGTGGAGGAGGAGGAGGAGGGAGAGGAGAGTGGAAGAGGAGGAGGAGGAGGAGAGAGGAGAGAGGAGAGATGGTTCTCTTGCCGACTTACTCGCTCTCTCCTTCTCCTGCCTCGTCGTGCTCGTGAGCGCCGCTTCCGCCATGGTGGAGTGGCAGCTGAACAGGGTGGGGTGCTGCAAGGGTCGCTGGAAGGGGTGGAACTCCAGGTGGAACAAACTTGATGGTTGCGCGGGGATGAGGGTTCGTCGGGGAGATGCGCCATGGTAGCTGGGCCGTGTGCTTGGCGATGGCGGCGCAGATGTGGCTGACGAGGATGGAGAGAGTGGGAGCCGATGCAGGGATTGGAGGTGAGGAGGGGAGAGGAGGGGAGAGGAGAGCATGGGGGGAGAGGAGGAGATCACAAGAGAGGAGAGCGGAGGAGAAAGGAGAGAGTTGAAAATTCGGGAAAGAGAAGCAGGGATACGAGGAGAGACGCAATGGGGCAGGGGATGGAAGGATAGGGAGTTGATGGAGGAGCTAGAGCTTACGTCTGTCTGCACTGAGCTCAAGAGTTTCAGTCTCAGCCATCAAGACGGCAAAGGACCTCGACGAGCTCGAGAGAGCGACAGACAGCTTGCTGGTTGCCTTCTTGTCATCACAGTGCGAACGCAGCAGGTGACGTCTCCTCCTGACGTACTCGGACATGATCACAAAATTCTCTCCTCAGGCAACTGATACCCAACCTCAAATGGGCGGCCAATCAGCTTGCACAGGAAGGACTGACGCAACTTCACCTCTCCATGGTGACGTCAGCACACCGCTGCCCGGTCCCTAAGTGTTCCATCGTCACAGGTGATCCTGGAGGAGATGAGCCCCGAAGATCGCAGGAGTCTCGAGGACAAGTACGGGGCCACAGATCTCCCTGCTGTCAAGTGGGTCCACAAGGGAGAGATCCTTTCTTATGACGGTCAGGTCAGCTCCGGATCTTGTAGCTCCGGATCAGTCCTTTCCTCCCCGATGCTCACATTCCCTCCTTGAGCAGACTTCTGCCAACGGGATCCACAAGTGGGTCAGGGACACCATCGCGAGCTTCGAATTCCCGGATAGAATGGTGATGATTGGGTGTGAGATGCCGATGAGAGTGGTTCTTGTTGTTGATGATGATGATGTTGTGGCGGTGGTGGTATTAGTGCTGCCGCTGCCGCTGCCGCTGCTGCTGATCATGATTATGATCATGATCATGGTTCTTGTTGTTGTGGTGATGGTGATGGTGATGGTGATGATAACAATCGATGACATGACAACTATGATTTTAATCTCCATGTTGGTTGTTTCTGTCTTGTCGATCATCTTCAAATTTTCACCTCCAATCTTCTCACGCCCTCCAAGAGGCATTGTGACGCCTGTCGACGGAGTTTAGAGGCGATGCATCATGACTGGGGCCCCCTCGTCTCCCGGCTGGCTGCTGCCGGAATCATCAGTCCGGTAACAACCTGCACTTGCTTGTGGAAGGATGGATGATGTTGAAGACAGGGAGGGACTGCAAGTCTTTCGAGTGAAAATGCAGAGTCATCCAACGCAATGATGAAGATTTGTTCCTCCTCGTACATGAACGCTCTTAGCAACATCTCCCGTGCTGATTGTGCGAGAGTGGTCAAGGCAGCCCGCGCCCCTTGCCTGCTGCCTGCCGTGCTGAAATTGACCGCAGTGGCACGGTCACAAGATCGTCTCACGGCACTTCAGCCTGTTCGCTTCTTGGTGCAAGAGGTGCAGGAGCTGGGAGCTTGTGGTCAGACGTGAAGCTTCTCCTGCAGATCCAGCGATCAGAGTCGGGACCTTTCGATCAAAGAGATTCAGGACTGCGCTAATCAGTGGTCCTCCAAGGTGGATGAACTTCGTCAACCCAGAGCTCTCAGCGTGTGCAGGTGCCGAATGGACGGCTGGGACTACACGAGAAGGTACCTGCTGCCTTTTAGGAGATGCTGCAGCAGGGGCAGGGGCAGGGGCAGGGGCAGGAGGAGCCAGGGGAGCAGTTGACTTTGTGTTGCAGATCATGGGCTTCTGCTCAGACGAGCCGGGCTCTGTTATGAAAGTATGCGGCTTTGAGGTGGGAGGCAGCAGGGGAAGGAGAAGGAACTGACGTGGCGAGCAGAGAACTGGGTGGCAGGCCAAGAAGAGGCTGGCCAGGAGCGAGCAGGTGAGCAGGTGCAGGAGGGGGGCAGTGGACATAACATGGATGGCAGTACCATCCGACAGTATGTGAAGCTTGCGAGGGGATCGTTGATGATATGGCCTTCGTCCTCCGCACCTCCAGGTCCAACCTCTCTTGCCCTCCTCCCTCCTCATCGTGAAGAGGCCAGTTTGGGTCAAGCTCCTGCTGCTGCCTTGAGGAAGCGTTCGCTGGACCTCTCAGAGCTGCTCGAGCCACTCTGCACTGACAGCTACAACCGGCATGAGGTGACTATATGCTTTCCTGTCCTCATCCTCCTCCCTCCCCTCCCCTTCAACCGCCATTCCCTCCCCTCCTCTCGTCCTGGAAGTCCTGCTCCCCGTCCCCTGTGCTTTCTCCGCAGAATCTGATCCTGCTGACCACCCTTCCTCATCATCGGAGCAGGGCGATGCGACTGAGGGTCCAGCTCGAGACTTCCACGAGGAATGCGCATTCCTGTTTGACAACTATGAAGACGAGGTCTCTCCAGCTCCTCCTCCAGCTGCTCCTCCTTGAGCTGTTTGTAGATTACCTCCGCTGTCATCCGCTGGGCAGGAGATCACGGGGCCATGGCTGCTAACACCAGTTTGCTCAAGACAGAAATTTGCAGTCGAACGGCGAAGGTCGAAACATGTTCTGTTTCTCTCGCTGACTCTGTAATACAGAGGTGCAAGAAGCTAAGCAGGGACAAGGAACTTTGAAAGAGTTTCATACTATACAACACCTTAACCGTGAGCATGGAAACAAAAGAATAAAGCAATGCTGGCGAGCAACTAAGCGCTGGATTCCAAAAACTTCGCATAGACGATAGTGCGTCCGTCCCCTGAAGTGTTCTGATATATCTTGCGAGCAACAATCTCACATATCTGTTCATGGTTGATGATCATTACAGAAAATGCACATGTCATGCCAAACCTGTTTGTCATCCTGGTACAATTTTTCATTCAGCGCATCCAAAACCTGAAAACCAATATTTCACAAGAGAATCTCTTTCTCTGTGAGCACTTACGAATTTCACCAGGTTGTCCAAGTCAGGAACTTTAGCAGGATAGACAGGAGCGGAATCCTTGAGTTGACCAAGACTACAGGAGGGGCAAACTTCGTTAAAACAGCATTTCAAGCAAACTGCTTGCAATGATCATTACCTTGCTTTCCTGGAACTAAAATGAATCTTCGGGCGAGGCATGTGAAATTCTAGAGTGAGCGACATCGCTCCTTGCCAAGGTTTCTGCTCAGAAATGTATTACTTTCGATTTAGACTAGCACGATTCAATCTCACCTGTGGTAGCTGGTCCCCGCACTCCTTCAAAAATCTCTGTGGGAAGATTGTACGTTCAGTTCATCTGAGCAAATCAACCATCGGTCGAAGATGACTTCACCTTCTTCTCTCTCGTGTTGGGATCGTACGTATGGCCCCCAACAAGATGTCTAGGTCGCTTAAGAGCATTCTGTTCAATCAAAGTCAAGATTACCAGTGGATAGCAGTACGATGTATGTGCCTACCGGTTTTCCATCGACTACAATACAACATTCCAATTGCGTTTTAACATCTCCGTCTGTGGAATTGAAAGAATCTACAATTTGGTCTCCTTGTATGGCACTTCCAATCGATTCTGAACCTGGTCCCTCGCTGACTTTCAATGGATCCCTCCTGATCAAATCTCATCTTACTGTACGAAATTCAGTAAAGAATGCCTCACCTAATGGTGGATTTCTTTTTTTTTGCTTTTCTTTCATAAGTTTCTGCGCCAGATGCATTGGTGAGGTTCAAATGATCAAGTTTTCCCGGAGACCCTTGAACGAAAGAATAATCCTCTCCACTCTCAGTGACTGAGTTTAGAGGATTGGGCAAGGTGGCATCAGTACAGATGTCTTGGAATTGGTCATTCAAAGATTGTAACGACCATGATGAGCTCTCAGTGACATGTGAAGCTAGAATCGGAGAAGAATCTATCGCCTTCTCAGGGGAGATCCTCTCCAAGTCCTGCTCAAGAACAATGGAATCTTCTTTCAAGGTGTTTTGCTCTAGCATCTCGATTCCACTGGGAGGGAAGACAGAATCTTTCTTCTTCCCCTTCGGTGTTTTGTATGCTCGTGCTGACAGCTTCTTCTTTGTGCCACAGTAATATGTATCAGAGTCCAGCAGAATATCTCCTTTCGAGATTTCCTTGAGTTTTTTCTTGTTGCCCGAGTTGTCACATGTCTTTTTCTTAGGCTTGGCGTTTCGAATAACTTCCTGATCATCCGCATTCAACATTCGCTGAGCTGCCTTTCCAACACAGATCTCTCTCCGCTCTGTTTCGCCATTTTCGACATCGGCCTGGGCTTTGTCTTTTCTCTCAATCCCTACGGCTCGTCCCTCCTTCCTATCCTTCAGACTGAGTTTTGCATGGCGCAGGTTCTTTCTGACTCCCTCCTTTTGTCGTGATTTGTTGATCCCTTTGGCATGCAGGTACCGCAGAGCCTCGTCGGACAAGGATTCCTCGTACCTGTCAAATATCGAGATTGCACTCCTTGCACGAGCTGTTTCCCCTGAGACATCGCATATATGTACACAGCAAACCACAAAGAACACAAAAAACAGCGTGTCACTCGATCGACGATGGATGCAGCAGGCCATGTTGATGACCTCACATGTGAGACAAGGTGGGGATTTCAAAATTTCGGAATCAAGGGCTAGTTGGCTTCTGAACAAGATCGGATCTTCTGTTTCATCGGCCCCATCTCCTTCATACTAGCATGCACGTCCCTTTGAGAGCTTCTCCAAGGCCGAGGCAGGGGAGGACAACAGAGCTCTGCTGGATCCCACTCCGCCCCCCCATGCCGTCCCTTCCCGCCATTTTCCTTCGGCCTCATCGCAACTTTGGAACTTTGCAACATTGAAATCTTGAAACTTTTGATAGAAACTTCGATAGAAACTTCGAAACTAGAAAACGAAACGCCTCTGTCATTTGATTGATCTTTTGTTTTCTCCCACCTACCCCTCATATACTAGTGATTTTGCTCTAGGGAGCAGGGGTCCTGGGGGTGGAGATTTGAGGGGCGCGGTTCCAAGTCCGATCGGAAATGGCGCTGAAGGCCGCGGTGGGGATGCGGGCGATGCGGGGACAAGGGAACGTGCAGATGAGAGGGACTGTGTTTGCGATCAAAGATCAGAGGATCTCAGGTGAGGGTAGGGAGGGGGGGAAGAGGAGGAAGAAGCTGAAGAGAAGGATTCTTGGTATTACCTTGACATGGACATTGGTAGTGTGCTGGGACGGTGGGAAGATTGAAACCTTTGATGAACAACAAATCAACCAGCTTCTTCCTGACAATGTGAGAAATTCGATGAATGGATTCTGTCAAGTTGAAATTTCTCCACAAGAACTCCCTGGACCAAGTCGTGTTTCATACCCGCGCTCACCTCAAGGGCGGCTCGGAGGAGGACAGCGTTGAGAGCTTGTACCACGAGATCAAGGTATATCACTGCCAAGATCCTGCAGACCTATGTCGAGCATGTTCTGTTGAGCATGTTCTGTCGAGCATGTTCTGTCGAGCATGTTCTGTCGAGCATGTTCTGTCGAGCATGTTCTGTTGAGCATGTTCTGTCGAGCATGTTCTGTCGAGCATGTCGTCGTTCTGTTGAGCATGTCGTCGTTCTGTTGAGCATGTCGTTCTGCTGGCTCTGATAATCAATCTCAGGGAAGCTTTCAGAGTGCGCACTCACGACTTGCAATTTTGAGAATTTCCGGCGGGCAAAAAGAAGCGGCGAAGAAGAAGCTGGAGGGCATGCTTGCGAGTACAAGGGCTTCTTTTGAGAAGGTGCGATCATGCAACATGATACTGTAATTATCTTGACATAGTGCAAGATAATGAATGAGAAGCAAATCAAGCTGAAGAGAGTAGAGATGGACGCAAGCGAAGCCATGAATGCACACAAGATATTGATGGTGGGGACTTGAAGTTTACTTGAGATGTGAGGGGTTTGAAGAGGTCACGAGAAATGTCCTGATGGCCGTGCTGTTTCGACAGTTTTCTCTATGTGTGCATGAATCTCTGACTGATTGTTGTCAGAATGAGCTTTCGAGGGAAAGGGCAGAGCGAGGGAAAGTCGAAGCACTCGCTCGAGTGGAGGCGAAGGCTAGGCAAAGGGCCGAGGCTGACACCATTGACTTGATGAGGTTGCCCTTCACAACGCTTGTTCCAGCTGAGGTTTGATCCCTCATGTTATACCACTGCAGGAAAGCCGAAAGTATGAATGAGCAACTCTCCATTCAAATGCAAATGAGGAGAACAGCGGAACAAGGACTGGCCGCTGAGATTCAGACGCGGAGCTTGAGCGGTGAGGAGTAACAACCAGAGCGTTGAAGTCTTTCTGGCGTAATATTTTCAATGAGCAGAGGAAAATGTGACGAGGGAGTTGTCGTCGAGGCTGGGGCTCGAGCAAGAGATTCTCAGACTGAAGGAGCTGCTCAAGATCGTCGAGGACGAGAAGGTGCATGCAAGTCAAGACGCCATCAGAGCTGCGAATGCCGCATTAATGCTGGTGACGAAAACTCGCCTCCGATCCTCCCTTCCTGATGTTTGACGTGTTTTCCTGCACAGGAGACTGAGAAGGCGCAGGCTGCAGAACTTTCGAACCGTGCCAGGAGCGAGTGTGAGACGAAGGCGATGGAGTTGCATGCAGTGCGGCAAGAGCTGATGCAGACCCAATCGAGGCTGAGAGAGGTCTAGTGTTGACTTGGCCTGTCGTCGATTGAAATCTCACTTGTCCGTGTTCTTTCCCTCGTCAGGCTCAGGTTGAAATTGAGAAGCTGAATGATCCTGAGAATCCCTACTGGAGTGTTCAGCGATCCAACCATCTTGTCCAAGAATACGAAATGAAGTACAGACAGGTTCACGTCAACTGCCGTCTAGTATCCCCTGACTCGCCCCAGGTTGTGTCTGAATCTCAAGTCTGGCGTCAGCAAACAGAGGCAATGGGCAATGAGATGGCTCAGCTCAAGATCAAGGTAGGCAGAGCGACTGCTCCCCTTGTCTGCTCGCTGAACTTGATGCAGGTCAATCAACTCCAGCAGTCGCTCAACGAGTCTCAGCAATCCGCAGCGGCGATGGCAGAGAACATGCAGCAGTTGGAGGCCGAGAGGAACAAGATGTACGACGAGCTGCAAGCCTCGGCGAGAGCGAGCAACGACAGGGAGAAGAGTCTGAACCAGTCCAAGGCTGAGCTGCAAGCGGCGAGCACGGAGCTCGCGCAGCTCCGAGGTCGATTGTCTCAGGTGGAGGTGCTGGAGATGGAGCTGGAGAGCTCCAAGTTGCGGCAACAGGATCTCGAGACCAAACTCAAGAGGCAGACATTGCAAGCCGAAGGTTCTCCTGATCGCATCAGACTCGGAGCCTCGGCTTATCAGGTAATTAGATGGGTAAGTAGTTTTGCTGTCATTTCTAACCTGAAGAAAAGATCGTCGGAGAGTCAGAGAACAAGAAGCTAGAACTTGCTGTAAAATTCTCGACGAGCTTTGTGTGTGATGGGAATTTAATGGCTTTCTTTTGGATAACAGGTCGGTCAACTGAGCGAACAGAACCGAAGATTGATGGTTGAGAACCACATGCATCAGGAGGAGTTGAAAGAATGGAGTTTGAAATGGGAAGAGATGGCAAATCACAAGATCTCCACTCCAGCTTTCTCCCAGTACGTCCCACACATCAAGATGCTGTCACTTCTTCTCCCTGCCCGATCCATTTTCCGCCATCGTTCTTATTTGAGATGTCTCTCGCACCTTTCCATCCTTCTTCCACCCTCCCCCATCCCCCTTCCCCATTCCCCTTCCTACCTCCTCCCCCCTCCTCCCTGCCCCCTCCCCCGTCCCCTTCCTACCTCCTCCCCCTCCCCCCTCCCCCCTCCCCCCTCCCCTTCCTACCTCCTCCCCCTCCTCCCTCCCCCCTCCTCCCCCCTCCTCCCTCCCTTGCTGCACTCCTCGACTGTATCAATATTGAACAACCCAATCCTCGCAGGCAGTCCCCTCCACCCG